GTGGGATGGAACATTTTGACTGTCAATAAAAAGGGAAAGACCAAGCCAGTAGGGGGAGCATAGCCATTTGGAAATCTATGCAGTAAGCTCCCAGCCAATGAATAAAGCCCTTCCTCTTATAAACATGGTGTTTGGGTGCTCTTTCTCTCCTTTGGGCCTTGTCTTCCTGCAACAGTGACCCATGGGTTGAGAATCGCTGCAAGTATTGAATGAACATCAACTTTTCTGACTTAAAGCTCCTAAATTTAGGAGCTTCTCATAGGGAGCCCCCAAAAGGAGTTGGTGGAGATATAACCAAACACTTCTATCCAGGTCAAGCACAATGATGTCAGTCCCTGTAGGCAGCTATAGTCCTCTGCCCCAACAGGTATCCAGGTTGCAGGAATCTGTAGGGACCAAGGGAAAGCTTCTACTCTGCCCTCTGGAAGTTTACTGAAAATGTACTGACACAAGGTAGATGACCAAGAGAAAAATGTACTCTGTGGGCATAGAATTGCAGGAGACTGATTACTTGATAACCTAATAAGGTCCAGATGCTTCTGTACCCTTCTTCACAGGGGAAAGGGAGAGGGTCATAGGAGTAAATTATTTTAGGGGAATTAATGGACCTGGGAGATGTACATTATCTGGTGAATGAATATCATTAAAAATTAAATGGGACCTGAGAACAAACAATTGTTTGGACAAACTTCAAAGTTCACCTGGGCTTTCTCTTTCTGATAGAAGTTTTAATCTACTCTGGTTAATAAAATTTCAGAGAAAAGTGAAAAGCAATTGTTCCTCTTTAGGGGGTTCAGTTGCATTGTAGATAAGGGAATTTTATAGAGCAACTACATCCTGTGCTTTGAGAGAGACAGAGGATTGCTTCTTCCTTACTGTCTCTTCCCTCCTCAGGACGTCTAATTTCACCTGTCCATGGCCTTTTTCCAACATTTATCTTTCAGTCTGTATCTTGTTTCTGACTCACTTTTTGTTTCCCATTTCTCTATTTAGCTACGAAATATGAGCTATTAAGCCCAAACATTATCTCTTCACAACTGTTGTATTTTTAGTTCAAAATTTTTCACTTAATATTATTAAATATTTTTTATCTTTATGCTAGTATTCTCCATCTTTTCATTTTTTTTCTATTAGTATTTTCATCATATTTTCTATAATGCCACTTTTTAGATTTACATGTTTTTTTTTTCTCTTGTCTGCTTTTTATTCTCATTCTTTTTATCTCTTTTGGGGGGTGAGGTTATTTTGTTTGTTTTGCAATTGCTTTGGTTTTTGATAGACAGGATCTCACTATATTGCCAAAGCTAGATTTAAATTTCTGGGCTCAAACAATCCTCCTAACTCAGCCTCTCAGTAGCCTCACCATCCCTAGTAAAAGAACTGTAGGCATATGCTTATCATGCTTTTTGCATGACTATTTTCACTCTGATGAAATACAAAATGCATCAGTTAAATGCAATAGTCTTAAGTGTATATCTTCATAAATTTTTACACATCTATACACGCTCATATGTACCATTCACATTAAGATCTAGAAAATTTTTAAATCCAGGAGCCTCTTTTATGCCCCTTTCAAGTCCTTTTATCTCACAGTATAGACCATTTTCTGATTTCTGCCAATGAAAGTTGGTTTATCTATAGTAGAAAAGTATAAAAATAAAATCTTATAGACTGTGCATTTTGATGTCTGAACTCTCAACATTATGTCTGTGTGATTTATTCATGTTTTCACAAGTGATAGTGAAAACATATGTCAATACAGTGCTTATAAGCAGCTCCTCTAATCTGTATGTAGCTTGCCTTTGATTATCTTCAATGGCATCTTTTAATGAATAGGTGCTCTGAACCAAAACAAAGACCTACTTATAAATCTTTTGTTATTAGTGCTTTTGTGTCCTCTTTTTAAAAACATTTGCAGAGTTTAGATCTTACTTTCCTTCTCTTTTGTTTCACATTAAAATCTTGATAATTTTAGTTTGTCATGTTTATGTCTATGATCCATCTCAAATTAGTGTATGCAAAAAACTTGCAGGAAACAAGTTACATTTTCTTACAACTGAATATCCATTTGATCTAGTATTGATTTAGGTATTAGGTAGCTAGGAACAGCTCTCCTGGGAAGGAGGACAAGGCAGGGGTCTTTACTTCATGCTTGCACGGAGAATCACAATTAGGTGGAATGAGAGCTCAGAGCCTTCTCAGGTCTTTTCTGATGATGTGGCCTTCTATTATTCCCGGTGTTACTGGACAAAGAGCGTCCAACTGCCTTTATTGGTGGAATGACTATACTATAGAATACACAAACTTTTACTTTTCATAGATGCTGACACATAGTGTAGTAAAAATTATATATGTGCTTAATTTTCTAACATAGGTGTAATAGAAAGATTATTTGCCCAAATACTTTTAAATACTGAGGATGAAATTCTTTGGGAGATTCAGTAATTTTTGATTTCCTTTGATGATTTTTCAAGTAGAAAACTATATCATTTGCAGATGATATTTCATTGCAATGACAAAACATTTCAAGAAATACAATCTACTGCATATCTATGTCTATATCTATTTCTATATCTGCCTCTCTTTTTCACACACATGTAAACTCATGCATTAAAATATACATAGAAGGGGTCTTCAAAAAGTTCATAGAAAGTACATATTATGAAAAAAATTATACATGCATGTCAAAAAATTTTTGCACCAAAATAAACTTGTACTAACTTATTATGTTGTATCTGAACAGAGTCTAGTTTATGGCACTAAGAGAGCTACAACATCAGTTTGAAAAGAGCCTCTTCAGAGCAATGTGAGTTCTATGAGAACTGAAGCAAGAACAAACACCAAATTTATACTAAAGCTTTGGTAGAACAATAGTGACATCATTGATGCTTTACACAAAAATTAAGGGAACAAAGCCCCCCAAGATCAGCATTTACAACTAGATAACTCATTTTGAGAAGGGATGAGCTGATGTTGAAGATGAAATCCTCAGTGGTAGACTATCCATATCAATTTGTCAGAGAAAAAAAAATAGTTTTGTGCCCTAACTGAAACACATTAAAAAGAACAGCACAAACAATAGCCAATACCACAGACATCTTCACTGGTTCACCTTACACAAGTCCTACTGAAAAATTAAAGTGGAGCAAATTTTTCCTTCATTTGGTGTCAAAACTGTTGTGCTCAGGTCAGTTATAGACAACAGCAGAGCTTTCACTGGAAATTTTACATAGTGAATCAACATCCTGAAATAGTACCTCAAAGAATTTTAACAGTACATGAAACATGGCTCCACCACTGTGATACTAAAGACAAAGCACAATCAAAATAATGGCTACCAAGAGGTGGAAATGGTCCAGGGAAGTAAAAAGAAAGTGGTCCAGATAAGAGCAAAGGCAACAGTTGACTTTCTGGTGGACCAAAGAACAATAATATCTGCTTATTAGGATGGTCAGCCAAAGCTTTAGAGAAAAATTCCCAGGAAGCATCACTAGCGAGGCCTTCACTACAACAATGATCCTACTCATTCCGTTCATCAAACAGGGGCAATTTGTAAGATTTTTAGCATAAGATTTCCTTCGTGCTTGAGGGACCTGGAGAAGCATGAGGATGGCATGTGATCTGAGTATGTGCAGGAGATCAGAAAATTGGAATCCAAGGGAGAATGTACATGTAAGGCCAATACCAGGCCTAAAGGTCATGGTCTCTTAATCCTAGAGGCAAAGGTCTTGCTTAAAGTCTGCAGTTTTGCAAAAACAAATTGGAGATGTTCTTACACTTTCTATGTTCCTTTCTTGGTGTTGATGTCAAGTAACTTTTACCTACTTTTTCCTGCTTTATGATAATAAATACAGAACTGAAGTTTACTAAGGAGGGCTCCTTCCAGAGTTCCTAAGTCCACCGATACAGACTTTGTGTCAAGCCTCTTCATTCCTCATACAAACACCCCCTCATCTGGTGATCCCAAATGCCTTCAGATTTTTGTTGGGAAATCATTAGTCATCCATCTCACAGTCCTAATTTAGCTCCTTCTAACTTCTTATTCCCCTAAGAAAACCCATTTTTCTTCAGCTAAAAATATAAAAAAGACAGCATTGACATAGTTAGATTTTCAGGATCTTCAGTTCTTCAGAGAGGGGCTAAATGAATGACATCATTATTTACAAAAGTATATTGAATTTGATGGAGCTTATATGGAGAAATAGCGTTTACTTTATTTTTATATATTAATTTTATTTCTTCACAAATATTTTTGTGTTTTTTGATTTTGATTTTTTGAAAATTTTTTAGAAATGGTCTCACTCTGTTGCCCAGCCTGCAATGCAGTGGTGTGACTATAGCTCCCTGAAATCTTCAACCCCCCACCTGGCCTCAAGCAGTCCTCCTACCTCAGCCTCCCCAAGAAGTTGGGAATATGGATGTATGCTGTTATACCCAGTTAGTTGTTTTTTTCTTTTCTTTTTTTTTTTTTTTTAACATCTTTTAGAGATCAGGTAACACCTAGCCTTAAGCAATCCTCTCTCTGTCTCCAAATGTGCTGGGAATGCAGGTGGGAGCCACATGTTCAAAAATGACGTTCCGTTGTATATGAGGGACTTCTGTTTGCGTGTGTTCAAATGTAACCATATATACATATTTCTCTCTTTGCCTTAGTATGTCTGTGTCTGTATTTGGTTGTGTATCTGTGTTTGTGTGTATTTAACCACTGAGGGGGGAAGGAAAGACATCCTTAGATAATTAGACTGGCTAATTCAAATTTTCTCTCATGTTATTCCCACTGGATGAAATGATCTTCCCTTTTGTTCTCCCTGTATGTATGCACACACACATGCATACATAAGCATATATACCACACACATATACATACATAATTATATTTTAACAACCATTGAGAAAACATGGAAAATCTAATGCCAAACTGTCAAGATATCTTTCCCCTGGAGAGTTAGATAAGACTAAGAGATGAGTGAATTTTATTTATTGTATTTTCAATTTTTTAAAATTCTCATAGGACAATTTCTGATTTCAATTTGTAGGAAAGCAAAATATAACATGGATAATGTGTTTTCCATTTGGTATACACTGCACATAGGATGTAGTTTATAAACTCAAGATTGAATTACAAAAAGAATCTTAATGGAGACCAAACAGTGAACATTCTATCATGCAGGAAAATGTGAACCAGATCTTATGGTGAAAATTAGAAGAGATAGGGCTCATAGATAGCATTCCTTCTGTAAGAAAAGAGTAGCTAATGGCTGGTACATGAGTCAGAAAACAACAGGTTTGTTCAGATAAGGTCAGAGGGTCCTATGCTGAAGTTTGGTATCCTGTACTTTCTTCAGACAGGAATGAAACAGAGCTCATAGAAGGGGGGTATAGTGCCTACACCCTTGTTAATTGGGGTGATGTCAAGGTCCTTTGGGTCAACCAGAGGTTTCAAGGTAAAATTCTGTAAAATGCTGGTCAGGATTAAAAACAGCTCCATGTGGGCCAGACTCTCTCCAGCACAAATTCTTTTTCCTAAAAATAACACATGAATTATTTATTTAATACTATTTTTGCTTTAACACACAGGGAAGTTTAAATAAAGTGGAATGAAGAAATGTATTAATGAGTGACTAACTAACCTATGGCTTCTATTAACACCCAAACCAGGTTTCATTCATTTCCTCAGCACATATTTCTGTGTGGATACTATGTGAAAAAATCTTTTCTATACATGCTAGAAATGCTTTGCTGAGGCTTGCCATTGACATCTTTCTGTACACACACACTCAGACTTACACACACACAAGCATGCACATACTCATATATCCCAACTAGCATGGAATACAACACTGTATCTACTATTCCACCTACTTATGACCTAGACTCAATGATAGATTTATTTTTCTTCTTCTGTGTTCTAAAGGATATTAATCTTGTCACACACCTGCCTTAAAAACTCAAGTGCTTAACATGGCCACGAATAAAAAAGAATTGTCTATGACCTGACGATAAGCAATTCTTAGAGCCTCATTTCTCACAATTCCTTCCACCCAGTTCCCCACATTCCAGTCATTACTAAATGCTCACCACTCCCCAAACAAACTGGCATTTTGAGTTTTATCACTGATTCCAGGTATTCTTTTACGTGGAATTGTCTTCCCCTCTCCTCTGCCTGCCAATAGACTGCACATCCTTCCACATTCAGTTCAGATTTTTTTTATTCTATGCCAACCCCTTTGTGGTGGTCACAGTATGCAATTGACTCTCTTACCTGTTTTCTACAATACTCATTAATACTCCTAATACTGTACATTCACAAGAAATTTAAATTATTCGTCTGTCTCACAGACAGGAATATAAGCTCTTAAGGGAATCCCTTATCTTGAAGTACCCATAGTAATGCCCACAGTGTCAAGACTACAGGCAGACCTGAAAGCCAGGAGAAATGAATGCAAATGTGAGTCAGGCTCATGATGCCTCTGGGGACTCCAAAATACAGGGAAAAAGTAAAGGAGCAGAGGAGCAGTGACTCATGCTGGGGTTATTCCAAGGCATGAGTCATAATCTTGGGACCACAATACTGAGGGTTGCTCCATACTGATTTTCTTAAATAATAAGGAACAAACCTTTATTCTGTCTCTGCTTCTGTTACTCTATAGAAAAGATCTTTATTCTCAAATCTTCCTCTTGCTTTTTCCTGGTAATATACTGAAAATTCTCCATTTCGTCATCTTCCAGATCTATTCCATATTTCCTTCTCTTTAATGCCTGTGTGTTCACAGGAAACTGACTTCTATGGACTGCCTTAACCCAGAAATTAGTTCCCTTCTGGGTTCTGGGTGAATTTAGAGGATTATAAGTTGAGGCTATCAGACTGTCTATTCCCTCAGTGTCCCCCCACCCTCCCTACCACTCCACAGTGCTGTGTTCCCCTCTCTGTGGATGCTTCTCTTGCCTCTGCTCTCTCCTGGATAAAGGTCTGTTCAAGATCCAGTGACACCCTCCTACCCTTGTCCATTCTGACCTAGGATGGTAATATCTCCCTGTTGATGTTAGTCTTAAGTACTTTACCACACTTTGTTACTTCCCTTAACCTGTCCATGCCTCTGAGAACAGTCTCTTCGTTAAACTCACTTCAATTAACCTTTTTGAGTGTCCCACCTCTTTCTTTCCAGGACCCTTACAAATCAAGGGAAGATATTCATCAATTACTTCCTGAAAGAAAATTTCCCTTACTTTCCAACTTCTCTGGCCCCTCCCCACCCCCCAAAAAGTCCAGAATCAGGAGTTCCTAACTCTGGGCTCACACAGAAGCCCTGAGCACAGCATTTGCTACACAGCAGTCTCATTTGTCTTCCTCTCTCTTACAAGGAAAAACTGTTTCTTGTTCACACTTGAGTCCCTGGACCTCACTTGGCATTGCCATGTGTAAAGCACTCAAGGAGGTTTATGGAGTGTACTGGGCTCTCAGGGTAAATAACAAAGGCCTCACTAGATCTACACTTCTAGGAGGAGCTCCTAGGCATCCCAGTGGGGGTCGGGAAGCAGAATCTGTGAGTGTAGCCACCAATCCAATGAAAACAACCAGGACTTCGGAAGTGGTGCCTCTGCCCTCATACAAGTGTCAGTGTGTCCATGCCAGGAGAGCCTCCAGGAAAAGACCTTTCTTGTCTCATTTATCCTCTCATGTGCAAATAAAAAGAAAGCTTACTCACCTGCTGAAAAAGGCATGAAGTAGTCACTCTTCTTAAAGTTGCCACTTTCATCCAGAAAGTGGCCAGGGTCAAACCGCTCTGGGTTGGGAAACTCTTTCTCATCATGCAGGACAGAAGACAGATGTATTGATATGTTTGTGCCCTGATTAAAAAAAACAAACAAACAGATGAGCCAGATTATAAAGGTGATCATTAAGCACAAAAAACATTAGAAATCCCTTATCTAATGCTTTTGTTTTATACGAGGAGATTGAGGAACAAAAAGGACAATTTATTTCCTCGGTGTCACAGAACAAATTAATGACCAAGCCCACCAGGTATTAAATCATATAACACCCAGTTCAGGGCACTGTTCACTGATTGCAAGGCCATCCTCAATGGTTTGGAGTCTGACACCAGCATATACTTTGCAGAAAAGCAAGGAGACTCCCAGGAACACATTGCTCTAGACAAATAAATTACAGTCTTGTCCAATATTTCTAATGTCACCAAAAATCCAGCTCATTCCCCATAGGACCAAATGTGAGGCTTTCCTAAAAACTCAGTAGCTAAGTGGTCTTTTTCTGAAAAACCTTCAATTTCCCACAAAGATGAGAAACTGATAAAAGTGTCCCCTCCTGTTGTGTTCCTTCAATCAAATGTTCATATATCCTTATAGAAAAGAGAGAGCATTTTCAATTTCTAGGAGGTTTTTCTGAAAATCAGAGATATAGGGTGACATAATGAGTTACAATTTAGTTTTCAGAATCAATCAAATCTTCATCATCACCAAATAAAGCTCTGTGACCACAGTTAAGTTGTTTCACATTTCAATGCCTCATTTCACCACTCATAAAATATAAACAATATGTTTGCAGCAGATTTTTACCATGAAAGATGAGATGTTATAGAAAATGCTTTATTTTAAAAAGATTACCACTTGCTAAAATGTTCAATAGAGAGAGGTTTTGTTACTGTTGTCACAATAATGAGTGTATTCATAATAGTCGGGGATCCTAGAAAAGGCCATACTTTTACTAGGTAGCAGAAACAAATTTTAAATCTACATTTTTCTGGATGTGTTCTAGTGCACTGCATGGCTTCTTCAAACATATGATATAGTTCCAATTTCACAAAATCCATAGGTCAAGGGCATAAACTATCATATCCATGTGGACAAATGAAGGAAAAGCGATAGCATCAGCCCCTCCTGACCCTCTTCCTAGTAACAAATTCTTTTGATTTCTTTTTCCTGCCTCAGTGAATTCAGAACACAACCTGAGCATGACAGGAAACTTTGATGTTCAGCCCCCAAATGGGCTTCCAGATAACGTTCGCTTGTGACAAACTACTTCTGGTTCATGGGGCCTTCTGCTTCAGGCTATGACACAGTAACTGCTTTGGCGTTACCCTCACAATTAAACAAATAGAAATAGGAAAAACACCTATATGGTAACAGTTTTTCATCTTTGCACAAGAGACAACCCAGGATTATGACACCTTACTAAAGATAAACTAGGCCCTATAATCACCCTGGAATTCTGGGATTACACAAAACTTAAAGGCTTCCACATAGCAAAGGAAACAATCAACAGAGCAAAAGGACAACCTACAGAATTGTAGAATATATTTGCAAATTACACATCTGATAAGGAGTCAATATTTAAAATATATAAGGAACTCAAACCTCTCAACAACAAAATATCCAGTTAAAAAATGGGCAAAAGAAATGAATAGATATTTCTCAGAGAAGACATAAAAATGGCCAAAAACAATACTAAAAAATGTTCAATATCACTAATGATGAGAGAAATAAAATCAAAACCACAATGAGGTATCATCTCAGTCTAACTCACACTCAAAAGATTTAAAAAATCAAAAAAATCAAAAGATGAGTGTTGGACAATATGTGGAGATATAAAACCCCAACACACCATTGATGGGAATATAAATTAGTACAGTCATTATAGAAAATAGTAGAAAGACTTCTCAAGGGAAATAAAATCAGTAAGTCAAAAAGATATCTGCAAATGACATGAAGGCTCTGTTGACCAGTTTGACGGAAGTATTTTGGATTGCATGTGAAAATCCCACACTGTACCCCAGAAGTGCATTAATGTACATAGTTACCATTCAATAAAAAAAAAAAGAAAAAAGAAAATGTGCCACACACATACAATGCATTATTACCCAGCCTTTAAAAAGAAAGAAATTCAGCTACACACCCCAATGTGGCTGGACCTGCAAAAAAAAAAAAAGATATCTGCACTCCTATGCATATTGCAGAATTATTCAGAATAGACAAGATATGAAATCAACATAAATGTTGATCAACAGACGAATAAAAAGAAAATGTGGCAGAGATACAAATTTAAATATTCTTTTGGGGGGGTGGTTTAAACAACATACATTTATTTTTTACAGTTCAGGAGGCTAGAAAATCCAAGCTCAATGCACCAGCAGATACCGTGTCTGGTGAGGGTTCTCTTCCCAGTTTGTAGATGGAGATTTTCTCACTGTACGTGATTCTGTGATTTGGGTAAGGATCAGCAGGCATAGCTTGTCTCTCTGCCACATGGTGTTGGCAAGGATAGCTTAACTGGCGTTGGAGGGTCAGATGGCTCCACTTATATGTCCTGGCACCTTGGATCCTCAGGAAGTTTGGCCACACAGGTCTGCAGTTGGATCACAGGGATTGGAGTTTGACATAAGAGGACTCATCTACAGGCCCATGAGCAGCATGTGACATAAAGACATCTACCCACAGCACATTCAGAGAGCACCCGCGGGAAGTGGTCGACCGGGAGCAGCCGGGCGGGGATCCAGGCAGAGGGAGGTGGGCGTGGGGCTGGGGGACCCGAGCCGGAGCGCCCCCAGTGTGGCGCGGCCAGGCAGGGAAGGGGGCGGCCGGGTGGTGATTGGCTGGGCCGCGACAGGAGCTCTGGGCCAAGAACAAAAGAGAGCGGGCGGCGGGCGTCCTCGGAGTAGGCGCTCCCGCCCGCCCCGCGCGGGCTTCGGTGCTGGGGGAGGACGCACCCACCACCCACCGCCCGCCCGCCCGCCCAGGAGCCGGGCTGGCGCTCTCGCTTTCTCCGCGAAAGCCGGTCGTGTACCTAGACATTAACCGGCCGGCGCGGAGGGGAGGGGAGCGGGGCGGGGGGCTAAATATTCTTTAATGATAAAAATGAATAAAATTCTGTCATTTGCAGCAACATAATTGAACCTAGAGTGCATGATGTTAAGCACAATAAGCTGGGCATATGAAGAAAAATACCACATGATCTCACTTATAAGTGAAAGCTAAAAAGTGTTTTCATAGGAAGAGAGAGTAGAATAGTGGTTATCAGAAGATGAGGATTGTGGGCGCTGGGGGAATGAAATATTGGTCAATGGGTACAAAACTACAGTTGGATAGAAAAAATAAGCTCTGCTGTTCAATTGCATAGTTATCTAAAGGGAATAATAATGTATCATGTATTTCAAGATAGCTAGAGGAGAGAATTTTGAATGCATTCATCTCAAAGAAATACTACACACTTAACGTGATAGGTAGGCTAATTACCCTAATCTGATCCTAACACATTTGATATACATGTGAAAACATCATGCTGTAGCACACAATATAATTATTATGTGTCGATAGCAAATTTTAAAAAGAGAGAACACGTGTGCCATCAAATGCTGACAAAATGGATGCAGGAGGGAAGACAAGATAAAGATTGAGAAGAAAAAGAAATGACTTTTTCAGGAATATCCTTTAAAAAGTGGGAGAGAACTCAATATCAATATGAAACCAGTAGATGAACACCTGCCCTCCCACATGAGAGAAAAACACAACTACAGCCAAATGGGGAGGAGGGTAGAAGAGCCATGGAGGAGAGGGGAAGAGGGAGGAGACTGGGTGTGCTACCAAGTAACGGGCATAATGCAAGGGTGTATGGCACACCTCCTGGGTGACAGGCTAAACTACAACTTGGACTCTACCTAACAAATGCAAACAACATAAACTAATAATCTGTATCCTTATATCAATCCAAAATTTTTTAAAAAGTGAGAGAGAGAAAGGATTCATGCCACAGATAGACTTGTAAGATAGAAGAACAACAGACATCAGAGTGAATTCAAAGGCTGTGTATATAGCTGAGTGTGTAAATCTAACAATGGCTCCAGTTTTTCTCTGTCAGGCAGAAGGGCAGGTCACTTGACAAAAAGAAGATAATGAAAGTTGGAAGTTTGAGGGGAGTTCAAGGTTCAAAGAATCATTGTGGAGCATGGAAAGGCAAGTTGAGTGGTTATAAAACAGGATTGTTGGTTACAACTGAAAGTATCTTTGACTTTCAACACTTGGGGTTGATGAAACTAACATCAACCTGCAGGACTGCAAGATCTTTTCCAGCAGGAATCAGCCTAAAGTCAGGCAAGGAGGAAGAAGATTTGTACTGGACTTTTGACAAATAGATTAAACAGTAGGGGCAGAAATGGAGGTATAGGATATTGGTTAATTGGTAAGAGTAATGAAACTTACACTTGAAAGGAGGGAAATGGACAGCAGATTGGGCTAATAGACCTGATGGGCAGAGTATAGACCTCTCAATGTACTAAAAATCCTGTGAAAGTCTAAGCACGATTATGTTTAGAAAATTGTATCAACAAACTAAAAGGAAAGAGGCACACAGCTAGAGGGTGAGGTACCTGAGCTATAATTGTGCCATATCAAAGAAGGCTAGGCAAACTAGAGTGCTAATACTGCAATAATTGATGGCCGGAGATTCCTAAGGAGAAGCATAGATAAAACATTCTCACCTTTGGAATTAAGAACTCTCTAAACTGCATGTCCTGGGTCACGGCATGTGGCAAGATGGTGGGGGCAAGGTCAATGTATCTCTGGATCTCATGCACCATGGCATCTGTGTAGGGCATGCGGCTCCTGTCCTGCATACAGGGGCTCTGGTGTCTGCCAATCACACGGTCGATCTCTTCCTGGACTTTAGCTGGCAAGACAGGAATCAGAAATTATGTAAAATGGAAAAGATTTGTAGTACTT